ATATTGTAAAAACTGCAGAAATTATTTAAAAAGAGACATGCTAAAATGGCTAAAAAAGGATTAGTTGACTTTAAAAAGTAAGTACAATAAGCATAATTATAAAAATTAAGTCAGCCTAACAATTCCAAGTTACAATGAGTTTACTTACATTATTTTTGTAAAGACAACTTGTTGCTTTTAAGGCAATTTGTTTACTCGCTTTAAGTAACTAATCACTTTTTACAGTGTATAAAAAATGAACTAAAAATAACTACCATATAATCAAGTGTATGTAAACACAAATCAAGCCTCTATGAATATCATGTCATCCAATGCAGTTTTGTACAGCCATATAATCATCTGCATTTTAAATCTGATATGTAAACAGGACACAGTTGAAACACAATCTAGTTAAGTCAAATCTACAAGTGTAAAAACAAAAAACACACCTTCATGTAAGGTTTCCGCTCTTCAAACTGATGATTTTCAATTTGCCCTGGAGCACACGACTAAATAAGTGGAAAATCCTGAATATTGTATTAAAGACAAACACCATCCCCAGCCTTGCAGTTGATAAATCACTTGACAGAAGGGAATCCACCTTACAGTGTTGACTGTCTGTTAGGTTATCTGTAGAGCGATACAGTGATTTAATGCAGTTTAGAGGCAGCACTGTCCCACCCCCTATCAGAATAGACAACAACACATCACTCACGGCTCAGCTGTGCAGAAACGACAGCTATAGCACACACACACACACACACACACACACACACACACACACACACACACACACACACACACACTGTACATAACAGCAGCACAGAGATAACCTCCAATTCCCACTAGAACTCATTAAGACAACTTATGTGTGTATTAGAAAACATAACACTAATAATAATACACTATACTGTTGCATAACATTGCTGTGTGCATATGTGTGTGCAAGGACCTCCCACGAGAAAAACTGATCACTGCTTTGGAAGAAAACACAAACAAAGGCTAGGATGATACATAAGGTGGAGCTCATAACATGCTAAGTTCGCAGACAGAACAGCTTTCACACCAGTACATTCATGTCTCACCTTAAATCATCTAAACCTTAATCAATGGTTGGCAGAAAAAAAAAGGCCTATGAAAAGGCCATGTAACATGTGAAAGCTTCAGCTTCACACTAACCAGAGCAGACTGTGTGTAAGCTCTCTCCATTCACCTCCAGATAATCCATTCGGTTAATCCATTTAGCTACTTTAAAAACAGCCCCAGGCGAGCACACTCTCTGCAGCCCACAGCTTAAAACATCCACTTCTGCTGATCTCGCAATATTCACTTTTATTTACCATTATGATTACCTATATCAAGGGCGGACTGGCCATCTGGCAATTCTGGCAAATACCAGAAGGGCCAGACCAATTTTTAAAGGTGGGCCGGTCAGTTTTTGTTTTTATATATGTATTGTTTTTAAGTGCAAACACCTTTTATCTCTTGCTAGATGTGATAGTATGATAATAATAATAATAATGATAATAATAATAATAATAATAATAATAATAATGATAATAATAATAATAATAATAATAATAATAATGATAATAATAATAATAATAATAGCAATGATAATAATAATAATAATAATAATATTAATAATAATAATAATGATGATAATAATAATAATGATAATAATAATAATAATAATAATAATGATGATGATGATAATAATAATAATAATAATAATGATAATAATAATAATAATAATAATGATAATAATAATAATAATAATAATAATAATAATAATAATGATAATAATAATGATAATAATAATAATGATAATAATAATAATAATAATAATAATAATAATAATGATAATAATAATAATAATAATGATAATAATAATAATAATAATAATAATAATGATAATAATAATAATAATGATGATGATAATAATAATAATAATAATAATAATAATAATAATAATAATAATAATGATGATAATAATAATAATAATAATAATAACATTAAATGTTGGCAACTGCCACCTGGTTTCAAGATGGGTCGACCCAATCTGAGGTTACCCCGACATAATCAAAATCTGGCAAGAATGTCATATTAATTCACCATTTGTACACCAAAATAAATAGTGAATGTGCGTGTCCGTGGGTGGGGCTGTGTCGGTGGCTGAATTTTTGTCTCAGTCCGCCCCTGACCTATATGGTTTCACTCTGCGTGTGCCTTCAAACGTTCTCCAAAAATAGCTTTGAGGGCAGTTTTCTTTAAATATTTATGTGCATAAGCTTTCCCTTCATAGTTTAAAGGTGCCGCTTGCTTACTTTCCTTCAGATTACTGGCCACAGAGGAGTTAACCGCCAATTGCACTGCTGTATGTTTAATGCAGAGGATGCCCTTCCAGCCACAATCAAGCACAGGGAGTACACTAGTTAGTTTAAAGGTGCCATATAGTCAAAAATGAGCATATACAGGCATAGCTGAATAACTAGAGTTCAGTACATGGAACTGGCCATACGGTGAGCCTCAAACACGAACGTTTCCTTATTAAATCTGGCAGGTGAAAGCCTAGTAAAAACAGGTCAATCAAAACAAAACACAGATCGTTACATTGCATATGCCAGGGTTGGCCACCCCTGGCATACGGGATCATTAATTAGCTTGCCCTTTGCATGTACATTAGGTCATGTTCTCCGTCAGCTGGTCCTGAACAAACAGCGGTCATCAGAAGTTTGTCAGACAAAACAGATGGTTTCCTCATTTTTTTTTTTTACATTTATCTACGCTTATATTAAACTTGTATGTGGGACTCTTATTTTGAAAACGGCAGACAGACCACTTTGATTGTTTTCTATGCATTGCTAAGCAACGAGTATCCAGGATACACAAATTCTTAATTTATTCAGCGCCAATTTTATTTTTATGTTATTTTCTCTTGTACAGAGAAAATTGTCTCTTGTATACTGTAGTAGATGTTTGTTTTACTACAGTGAACTCTGGTGTACTGTAGCTTAATACAGCCTAAAGTTGTTTAGAAAAAAGGTACATTGAGTAATTTGTTAATAGTTGTTAGTTATTGTATTACCACAAGTACTGTAATACAGTATGGTTCAAAAAATATTAAGCATTTTACTATACTTTGGATGTGGGCAGTCTTTAAAGAATTTAAAACTTTGAAGTATAACAACTGAACCTTTGCCTCAGATTGAAAATTTGAAAGGAACAAATGATCAAAAATGCCCTTTTGATTACACTAAATATAGAAACAGCATGTCTCAGATCTGATGGTGTTCAACAGGGGGCAGCACAACCCTAAAAACAAGCCAAACATTAACCAGATCTAGATTGACATTCTCTCACCAGTATTTGTTTGAAAAGTCCTGACTAAACAGGCCCGGACAAAAATCTACTGTTTAAGTATAAATTAAAGCATTTGTATAGATTTTCACAGCTGTTTTAATTCATGTATTTTGATATAAATTCAATTATTCGCTGCTAGAACAGCTTAACTTGGTGTGACCAGCAGGTTTTTAGTTTACTGGACTTGTGTCCAGTCAGTGTAATGTCCTGGCAGCTGCAGAGGTAGGCTATAAAGTGGCTGCAAGGAACTATGACGGCAACCAAAAAATCCAAATAAATAAATAAAATAATCGTTCATTAATTATAATCAAGTTAAAATAATCAATTAATCAAGATTTAGATGTTTGACTAAATCGCCCAGCCCTATTCAAAAGCACATTAAAGTTGTAATGAGCAATGAGTTCTTATAAATACTAACGCTTCCCATCATTGTGACAATTTTCACTGCACATTTTCTTTTTGCCTTTATTAGATAGGACAGTATTGAGACAGAAAGCGAAGTTGGAAAGAGAGAGGGGGGCGTAGGGTAGGGAAATGTCCCCAAGCCGGGATTCGAACTCAGGTCGCCCTGATGTGCTACTGCATCATATGTCGGCGCGCTAACCACTAGGCTATTGCGCTGACAGCATTTTCTTTTTAAAGGTTCAGGACACACTGGAGAACTTTTTTTTTTGTATATTAACAGATGTGTGTGTGTTGAGCATTAGTTAAGACGATGTTAGCACCTGTCAGCTTTAATTGTGGGGAAAACTGGATAATTTTGAGCTTTTGTCAGCTAATTTCAGCTTCCGGGTTTAAACTGATTTTTGGGGCGGATCAAAATCGACGACGTAGCGCAGTACTGCAAGTGCAATGATGACGCGTCGGTTTCTCATTATTATTCATAGCGGAGTTTTCTTATCCTATGAGAAGAGCCGGCTGCTTAATTATTCATGAGACCTGCCAGAGTCAAGCCCGAGCTGTGAGACACAGACCGACAGTATTTAGCCGTTCATGAAGGCTCATATGCGTTTGTTTCCATGATCCACGCGGTTTGTTGCATGTTTTCCCCCGCGATATGGTCAGGGCATATCATACAGCAAAGCTGTGTGTGCTGCTAGCATTTTTGTCGGGAGAGCAGAACGAGAATTAGAGAATGGCGGACGCTGTCTTTTATCAGGAGTTTGTTCACATTCAGACACATCACTGTGCTGCTGTGTTCGCCTAAATCCTCCAGATTACCAGCAGGGTTAATGGTTAAAATAGACAGGTCAGGAGACCTGCTGCACTGAGTCTGCTGGATACGGGGATTGAGGGAGAATCCTCATTTATAGTGTTTACATGAACACATTTATCTTTATAATGATATAAATTGTGGTTATGTGTTTATGAAATTACAAATAACAAATGTAGCAGGGCATTAAATCACTGTTCATTTCTTTGCATTTTAACTTTGGGAACTATAAACTCATGCGTCTCCTCACGGTTTGTCTCAGTTTGTGAGCTAACTGACAACAATAGTTGTTCGCTTACGTTCTCCCCTGCTGGCCACGCCCACTCCTGCCCGATGCTCGCGGAGCTCCACGCCCATTAATCATGCATCTTTTGAAAAAAATCTGAAGTAGACTTTAACCGAAATTGGAGGGTGTCATGGTCCTTTAAGACAGACTGTGTCTTACCTTCACCCATCGGGACGTCATGGGCCATGCTTTGAGATTTCTCTGGCATGGCACTGAGGCCTCACACCTATAAATGAGAAAAGAAAAGTTAACATCTCTGACAACAGTTTCAGTTTCCTTTATTTATGTCATACAACACATGACAATAGAATTGTAATGCAGAAAGAAATTGCGTTGCAACAGACCCAACAAGAACATAAAAAACATCACTATACAAACACGATAAAATCCTAACATAATAAATAAGCTTTTATAATTACATTAAAATATAATTATATAAGATGTAACCTACTTTAAAAAATCTCTGAAGAGAATAACTTAATACTTAAATACCTATTTCACCATTTGGTGTAATATTAACAATTTATGCTAGTTTAACACATTTATTGATTTATTATTTAACACTAGCTATCAACACTGCTTAAGAAATGGTACTATTCAAAACTCTTATAATGAGCGCGTCCATAGAGGGCGGCAGTATAGAGAGGGCGGCATCCGCAACACCCCCCTTACCACCCGCGTCCTCAGTTATGTCCGCAACACCCCCCTTACCACCCGCGTCCTCAGTTATGTCCGCGACACCTCCCTCACCATCCGATGTTTCCCAGAGATGGGTTGCAGCAGGAAGGGCATCTGCTGCGTAAAAACTTGCTGGATAAGTTGGCGGTTCATTGCGCTGTGGCGACCCCGGATTAATAAAGGGACAAAGACGACAAGAAAATGAATGAACGAATGAACTAATAATTCAGGGAGGCTAATAATTCAACTATGTTGCATTCATTTATTTATTTGATATGATTACAGACGTTACAGCAGACTACTTCACACTGTAATTGATCTGCAGTTATAATCAAATCATGTTCATAGAAAAGTTAGTAATAAACACTTATCCAAAAGTATTTATGTGTAGTATTTCAGAAGTATTTATGTGTATTGTGAGAAGTGCTTCTTATATAATATGGAACGGCCTGTACAGCTTTACTGTAGACATATTCTCAAGTGAAAATGACTTTCTGTTGTACACCACGCCCACCAAAAGAGTACCACTGGTATCCTTTTAGAAGTGGGAACGCACGCCCGGCTGGGTCAGTTGGCATTTCTGTGTGGAGTTTGCATGTTCTCCCTGTGTTCTTGTGGGTGATCCGGTTTCCCCTATAGCCCTTAAACATGTGGTACAGGTGAATTGAATAAGCTAAATTGTCTATAGTGTATATTTGTGAATTATTGTGTATGGACGTTTCCCAGTGATGGGTTGCAGCTGAAAGGGCATCCACTGTGTAAAACATATGCTGGATAAGTTGGCGGTTCAATCCGCTGTGGCGACCCCAGATTAATAAAGGGACTAAGCCGAAAAGAAAATGAATGAATGAATAATCTGGACTAAGTATGACACACAATGATTGTTTATTATTTTAGGCTGCTTGACACATCAGACGTTTGATGGCCCATCTGATTTATAGTGCAAAGCAGCTCATGTTTCATTCCCACTGTAAATACGGTGTGTGTTTTAAGTCTCTATAGCATTTCAACATATGACAATGGAAGGAAAAAGCTGGCTTGGATCAACACACAGCTGTGATCTGACCTCTACATGTTGAAATCAATGCCCATTGCCCTACTTTACAACTGTAGCATTGCTTAAAGAGATAGGTCACCCAAAAATGGCATTTCTGCAATCCTTTACAGTACTCACTTTTTTTTTTTTAACCTATTTGAGTTTGGTTTCTCTGCTGAACATAGAAGAAGTCATTTTGAAGAATAATTGATGGTACTCATTGACTTCCATGGTCATTGTTTTTGTATGGAAGTCAATGGGTACCATTAACCAGTGGTTCAAAGCCACACAAGGTAGAGCACAGGTGTCAAACTCAGTTCCAAAAGGGCCGCAGCTCGGCACAGTTTAGTTCCAACCCTAATTAAACACACCTGATCAAACTAATTGAGTCCTTCAGGCTTGTTTGAAACCTACAGGTAAGTGTGTTGGAGCAGGGTTGGAACTAAACTGTGCAGGGCTTCGGCCCTCCAGGAATTGAGTTTGACACCCCTGAGGTAGAGTAAACAGTGTGGCAATTGTCTTTCTTGGATGAACGATCACAAATGATAAAGAATTTACAAGCATCAACATCAATGTGCTCTTAACTACGAAAAACCTTTACGGTCTTTCCAGATAATTAATGATGATCATGGAAAACAAGTTTGCTTCTGTAATAAAGGGCAGTAGCAAAAACAGGCTGTTTAATTTCAAGGGTGAGGGAGAGCGCAAAACAACAAACACAATTCAATTATAGAGCTTTTTTTAACAAGACAAGTTGTTTGAGTTATGATGACACCGTGCACTGTTCGCTTATTAAAACAAAATAACATTAAGAATGTACAGCAAACACACTCATATATATATATATATATATATATATATATATATATATATATATATATATATATATATATATATATATATATATATATATATATATATATATATATATGTACACACATACATATATATATGCTCAGAAAGTGGCATAAGTTTTATAATTGTATGACAATATGAAATGTTGTTTTCTTTTTATGGATTGCCTGATGCACACATAATACGACATTAAATAAATTATATCAGGTTTTTTCAAAATAATTAAATTACTCTACAAAATAAAAATTGTACATTTTAAATGAAACCTTGTGACTGAAAGGCCCAGCGACTATTTTGCTTGCGAAAGTTAAATTATTTCCATATCGATAAACAGATGATGAATCTATTTTATCACGCCTTTCTTGAATCCGTTTTATCCTTTGCTCTGGTGTCATGGTTTGGAAATCTTTCTGTCAAGAATAAAAATTCACTAAATCAAATAGTTAAGTGGTCCAGTAAGCTGACCGGGGTGTCACTAGCCAACCTAGAAGCTGTGTACACTAGGCAGCTAAAGAGAATTACAAATTCAATTTTAAATGACACTGCTCATCCCCTACATTCAGAGTTTCAGCTCCTTCCCTCCGGTCGTATGTTTCTAGTATTAAGCTGTAAAACGAAACGTTACAAAAATAGTTTTATACCAGCAGACATTAGACATTTAAATAAGACTTAAGCAGAGATGTTTCAGTGACCTGTATATTTTAAATCATTTTAAATATTTACTTGGGGGAGGGGGGTGGACACTTAAAGTGATTATTTATTTATTCTTTATGTTTATGTTTTATGTCCTAATGCGCATTTGTTGTTGTTACTGTGTGAGTTGCTTTGTGTGGCACTGTTGTAAGATGAGGACTCTTGACTGCAAATCAAATCTACCTTCGGGTATAAATAAAGTAACCTAACCTAAGCTAACCTAAGCTAACCTAACCTAACCTAAGGCTTCATTTAAAATATCCTCACACAAAATTTGCCATTCTCACCCGCAAAGCCATTCGGAGGCAGTACTAGTATTATCCATCAAGGCAATGGCAGACTAGAAAACTGCTGAGTGAACAAGTTTAAAAACAAGAGTTTAGATGAGTAAACTGTAACAACACACTCAAACTGCAACTACTCACTATTCTTTGATTTACAACTACAACTAAAACTAGTTTTTAGACTGCATTTAAGCACCAGTGAGGGAAAAAAAAAACGTAAGTGATAAAATGAACATTTAATTCACCCAAATACATATAAGTTTTTTTTTTTTTTTGTTTAAATATCTTCTTTTGTGTTAACCAGAAGAGAAAAAATCTCAGGTTCAGAAAAAGTGAAGAGATTGTAAACGAGGACTAAATTTTTTCGCTTCACTTTTGGTTTAAAATCAATATTTTTGAACCATGCAATGTGTTTAGGACTATTGCCAGACTATTACCAGTGCAATATTAGACATAAGATGGTTTTGTGATCCTGGTTCACAAATGTTACTATTTTTTGGCTTGTGTTTTTTTAAACAGTATAATGTAAGTAAGCTAATGATTAAATTGTAAAACTTAAAAATGTATATAATCACTTAACATAGTATAAATAATTAATAGATGATTTTTGGTTTTGGTTTTTAGCCAAGTGCATCCAGAATTTTCAGTTTTGGCCCAGAATTTTCCTTTCGGTGCATGCCTACTGTTAATGAATACCACTTAATAGTTGAATTAATCTCTCGTCTTGGTCAACAATCACTTTTTAGGGAGGTTAAACACAGTTGTGTGCCAACAGTTTGTAAAAATATCCAGTTTCTAATGAAAGAATTTGTTAATTAAGTTTTTTTTTAGAATGACACTTGTATAAAAAGTCTAGAAACACTTTGACATTCTCCCACTGTGCATGTCATCAGAGAAGGAAATCCCCACACATTAGTGACGATCTTTCCCTCATTAGTATAGGACATTGGTCTTGTTTTTAAATCTGCCACTATGCTGACACACAGGCGATTGTAGCTCCGCCCTCTTCTGAAAAGATCTCATTTGAATTCAAAGCAACAGTCACCAAAATGGCACAATTAGGATCAAAACAGGCAGTTTCAAAGAGTTATAAGACATTATTTGTGGGGTATATACTCAAGGGACATTAGAAACCTAATTATCATCTTGTAAAAAGAGACTTAATAGGTCCCCTTTAAGACAAAGCACTTCTAACATAATAACATAAGACACAGCATAGCATAACTAGTTGCATACAACACTGCTTATCAAAAAGTAAATTAAAGCAAATTATATTCCTTCTTCTAGGTCAATTTGATATTTTTAGTTCACAAGAACCATCAAATGTTGGTGGGCATCGAGTTACCCCTCCAAAACCTGGTTTGCCTATAGTTGTTTTATATTGGGTGACATTTTAAATTAGCGAGCTGAACTAGATCTATTTCTTGTCATTTCAATCTATTCACAATAAAGTCCTCCTCGGTGTTTGTCGATATTAAAACACTTCCTCTGATTGCTTCTTAAAATGCAGACATCTATGCATTTAGGCTGACTTTTCTATAAGATGCCGATGACACTCACCATGCTGAAGTAACTCCTAAAGCTCCGAAAAGCAGGCATGATGCGAAATGGATATGTAAGAAACTACAACTTGTTCTCAAACTTGGCTAAAAAGAGAGAAGGGGGTTAAAGGACACAGCTAGAGAACAACAATGAACAAACAACCCCTTACAGCCCAGTGCCAGATCACATGACAAGGCAAAGCACAGATACAAGAAGGGCCTATTATGGGAGCATCTATCTAGCACCGCACTAAACTGTGCAGACCGACGACAACATAGATAAACACCAATTGAACAAATAGTGCTAATATGCATAACTTTTCATCTATACATCATTTGGTTTAGAGTGTCTGTTTGCAGAACTTATTTGCACTAAATGTCTGATTTGAACAGTCAAATCAACGAATATCAACCACAGTATTCATTTCCTCTTTATTTCTAAAGCACTTTTACAATGTAGATTGTGTCAAAGCAGCTTAACATAGAAGTTCTAGTAAACTGAAACTGCTTCAGTCCATTTTCAGAGCTGAAGTTCAGTTTAGTTCAGTTCATTCATTCATTTTCTTGTCGGCTTAAGCCTGGTTTATACTTCTGCGTCAAGTGACCGGCGTAACCCACGGCGCATGCAACGCCCGTAGCTGTGCATTTATACTTCTGCGCGCTGTCTCTGTTGGTCTGCATTAACACTTCCGAAACGCTAGTGGGCAGTGAGGTGTAAATGTTCCTCTGTGTCGAGTTTCTTCGCTGCTGTTTTGCTTTTCCTGAACACTTCCTGGATGAACAAGTGGCTCAAACTCGCTCATTTTGAGGCAGGAACCGGAGGACGTGCAACAACTTTAACTATGAGGTAAACACAAAACAAAACTTTCCATCCGGAGCTCCTTCACGGGACTCCACACTTGTAAACAATTGCTCCATCAGGCTCGCACCATTCGCGCGGCTCTCGGTCCTGCCCAAACTCGTCAGTGCTACCAAGCCGACCAATCACAGAGCTTGCGCTACGTGTCGTTGCGACGTGTAGTTACATTTTGTGAGAGGTGCACATCAGCGACGCCGACGGCCACGGCGAAGGGCTATGCGTCAACGCCGTAGCATACGCCGGCGTTTGACGCAGAAGTATAAATCAGCCTTTAGTCCCTTTATTAATCCGGGTTAATAAAAACTAAAGTTTTTATAAAAAATAAAGTTTTTCCTTAAAAAAAAAGCAAAATAATCTGCCAATAGGGTAAGCAAAATAATCTTACGTCAAAAGAAAAAACAAGTTTTTGCTTGTTTTAAGGAAAAACTGACTTAATATTGGCATATTATTTCTCAAAACAAGACAATATGTTTTGCTTGTCTATAAAATGCTTCTTGATATAAGACATTTTAGATTGTTAGGACTGCGTTGTTTTGTTTGTGTGTTTTGATTCTAGATTGGGGGCGTGCCTTCAGCGCACCTGATGCTTGTCAGCGCCCTTATTTAAACCCCGGCAGAGAGTTTGTCGGGGCCGCTGTCCATTCACTTGGCAGTTGGCCAGAGCAGCGCTCCTATTTGGCCATTATGCTTTCTTTCGCATCCATACACTATCACTGACAACATTTACCGCCTCCATTCATTTGCATTTCACACTGATTGAACATACTGATACTGATATTTTGATTATATAATTTAAATTGAGTTAAATAAATATTCTTTTTGATTATACTTCTCCTTGTCGTCTCCCTTATTATGTTACATCCCTGAGCCAGGTGTAACAAGATATTTAGACTAGAAACAAGTAGGGTTGTAACGGTATGAATTTTTCACGGTATGATAATCGTCTAAAACAGTACCACGGTTTGACGGTTTCGCGGTATACGGTATGTTACAAAATAATAGAACAGTGAAGCAAATTTGACTTTTTCCAAATAATATATTTTTAGTTACTATAAACAACACCACTTACAATGAACAAATAAAAAATAAGAAAATAATAAATAATGTGTCAAAGTCCAAATAAAGTCCAAATAAACATGGTGCAAATCCTCAGTAAAAAATAGATATAAATATTTACTATACTATAAATAGTTACATAACGAAACTAGATTCAATATGGAACATCCTTAGGTTTTATGTGCCAGCATGGATATGGTTGTCTGTGGATATGGATTTCGATATGGTTGTCTGCAATGCAGACAAACAGCTGCACCTTCATTTGCGTCTTTTGAAAACAGCAAGAGCAGCAGTTCGTCTTTGCTGTGTCACTGTTTTGTCATGTTTCTGTGCTGCTGTGCATGCAAAAGTACTTAGTATGAGAATTATTTCATGCAAAACTTTTTTTTTTGCGTTTTATTTAGCCGCGCATAAATGTATGCCTTTCTCTCATTCCGTGTTGTTCAAAAAGCTCATGTTGGTGCACAAACAAAAGCGAAACCTATGCTAATTGGTTGTGATATAGCGAGTTTGAACCAATCTGGGCATGGAGGAGGGACAATGCATCAATGTATCATGTCTGATTTGTCCGGAGACACAGTGACGAGCGTTTCTTTGTCAAATCAGCGTTGTCAAATGTTGATGACGTAACCGCACTGATTCCGGAGCCTCTGAAAGTCCGCAAATGTTATGTGATACAGCACTGGAAAGCTGAGATTCTCTTCTTTATGCCAATCTTTGATTTGTATAAATCGGATCAGCGGATCAAAAGTTATTAAACATTTAAGAGCAATACTTATTTTTAGCCGCGGGCGGCTGTCTCGGTCTTTAAGGGTTAAAACCGTTGATATGCAATTGTTCATGGTATGATAATCGTGCACGTTCAAATCGTGGTAAACCGTCATACCGGTATATTGTTACAACCCTAGAAACAAGACAAAAAAAAAATCTAAGCAAGACAAGCATATTTTCAGTGCACTTAGACTCACCGCGCAAGCTATGTTTAACACTGCTTATTTTATAAACACATTGCTGCTGATTGGGGTGATATTTTGGCCACACCCACTAAAAAAGTGAATATGTATCTCACACCCTGTTGCTCACCGTTTCAACTGACATAACTGCTGACAAACCTCACCTTTTTCAATCATGTTCACTTTCCCTACACTGCAAAAAATGCTTTTCTTGCTTAGATTTTTTGTCTTGTTTCTAGTCTAAATATCTAAAATTTCATATATCAAGAGGCATTTTCTAAACAAGCAAAACATATTGTCTTGTTTTGAGAAATAAAATGCCAATATTAAGTGAGTTTTTCTTTAAAACAAGCAAAATAATCTGCCAATGGGGTAAGCAAAATAATCTTGTTTTTTCTTTTAACGTAAGATTATTTTGCTTACCCCATTGGCAGATTATTTAGCTTGTTTAAAAAAAAAAACTCACCTAATTTTGGCATATTATTTCTGAAAACAAGACCATATGTTTTTCTTGTCTAGAAAATGCTTCTTGATTTAGGAATTTTAAGATATTTGGACTAGAAACAAGTCAAAAAATCGAAGTAAGAAAAGCATTTTTTGCAGTGTAGTCTGCGTAGTGACTCCTTTATGGCACGTAGGAGAGGTATCCCAGCAGAGTTATGGTGAGCAATTTTTTGAGAGGGGAGCCATTTTTAATTGCTGATCTGCAGAAACAGCCGGCCCACCGAAAGATCCATTTTCCACTTTAAATGCTGTGTTGTTAAACTGCTTTTTTAATGTGGTTTCAGTATTTTAAACTGCTTAAACCATTCAATGATAAACTTTGATGTGATCCATTTCATACACGCTGTTAATTATGCAAGATGATCCCTTGTAGCTTAAATTTGTACAACGTACACCTTCATTGTCGTTTATTGGATTGTATATTGGCTGGAGATGTGTAGCTAATAGTAACCTCTGTTCTAGGTATATTTGCTTTACACATTTTAAAATTGATTTTCAACTTTATTTAAATGTAATTATCCATTAAAATACTTAAAATTATACTATCAAGAAATATCCACCCTGCTTTGAAAGAGTTTAGCATTGGCCTTAAAAAAAACCCCATATTGGTCAACCACTAGTGACATCTTTCACTCCACATTTCTTTCTAATTTACTACCATGTTGGCAGTGGTGTAAAGTAACTAATTACAAATACTCAAATGACAGTAATTGAGAAGTTTTTCTCAGGAATTGTAATTTATTAAGTAGATTTATAAATGTGTACCTTTACTTTCCCTTGAGTACATTTTTAGAGCTGTATCTGTACTTTTACTCCACTACTTTCCTTTAACCTGCAGTCACTACTTTACTACTTTCTTGTCTATGGGGATTAGCTAAAGTAGAAAAATCAGTCCTGTAATTCCTGTCTAATCAAATCGCACAGAAAGTAAATCACATGATACTGAACCACATCAACACATGGGCGCTTTATAAATGCAGCAAGCTTTTCAGAAGCATTAAAAATGTCCAAGAAGACGTTTAAAATATTTACACACATTGACACGGACTTTTAATAGACTGGATGTTACTGATGAAAAAATAGATGTCGACTTTATGATGACTGAAATCACCAACAGCCTTAAACAATCACTAAATGACAGGAATGAAAAAAATATAGAACCGAACGAAGGAAGGAACAAATGAAGGAAGGATTCAAGGAAGGACTAAACAAACTAAGGAAGGAAAAGAAGAAAGGAAGGATGGAACGAATGAATGATTGGACAAAGGACCTAATGAGAGAAGGAACAAAAATTATGAACGAATGAATGAGCGAGCAAATGAAAGGAGGAATGAAGAAAGGACCAAAGAATTGAACAAATGAATGAAGGAAGGACAGAACAAAGGACGTAATAAAGAAATGAACAAAAATATAAATGAACGAACGGACAAAGGACCAAATGAATGAAGTAAGGATTCAATAAAGAACTGAACAAACTAAAACCGAACGAACGAATGAACAAAAGACCTGATGAATCTAGGAACAAAAATATGAATGAGCGAACAAATGAAGGGAGGAACGAAGGAACAAACGAATATAGGACAATCACTAAATGCACTGCAGAATGCACAAACTGCATGTAAATGCAAAACAACTTTATACAGCGTAATACTCACTACTCGCTACTCTTGAGTACTTTTAAAAGTGCTACTTTTACTCATACTTTGAGTAATATTTACAGCAGATACTTTTACTCTACTCGCACTACATTTTTGTGCAAGTAATAGTACTTTTACTTGAGTGTGAGTTTTCAGTACTCTTTCCACCACTGCATGTTGGAGATGAAGTAAGTCGTAAGCTAATCTACCATTTGCAGGTCCTTTATGTGGAGAAATCAAAAGATATGTCCAAAAGCATCTTTGTAAATGTTCAAAATGTTGTTGGAGACAAAATATAAGACAAAATATAACTCTAAAACATATATCTGTCATCAGGTTAGATTTGAATAATTTAATCTCTTATTTGAGCCTCCTCACCTAACCATCATCGCTCTCACATATCCGCCATATTTTCAGTGTAGTTCTAATCAAATCCGCATGCAACGTGCAATATGCCGGGAGTTATTTTGGCCATTTATAAACCTATTTTATCTAAATGTGTCAACATGTTTCATACCTGAAGTTAGGATTACAGACTTAATTTGAATGAATTCGAGTGCATTACAGTCAGTGGGAAGATACAATTAGTGACATTACATCATCGTGAATGATGTGATGACTCAAAAGAACCGCTAAACCAGTTTGTAAACTGGTTCATTAAAATGAACAAGTTCATAGTAAAGAACCAGACCTCCCATTACTAATCAGCTGCCCAAAACTCCTGTGAAATTCAGTAAATAAATTCATTAAATGACTGATTCCAGTGACGCTCCAGGGACAGACGAGTCTTCGCTGAGGCCATCTTCCAGCCTAAACCACGGCGAATGAAACTCTGCACAAGACTTTTGGCCAGCGGAGAAATTAAAATGGTCGTGCCCAACGGAGTCTGGTTCTCTCAAGGTTTTTTTTCTTCACTCCCATCAGGTGAAGTTTTTTTTTCCCTCTCCGCTGTCGCCACTGCCTCGCATGGTTCAGGATTGGTAGAGCTACGCATCGATGAATTTGCTCTTCAGTGTTTGAACTCTCAGTAATGATTAAATCACACTGAACTGAGCTAAACTGAACTGAACTGAACTTAAACACTAAAACCTGAACCACACTGTTCCAGTTACTATGACCATTTATGTGAAGCTGCTTTGACACAATCTACATTGTAAAAGCGCTATACAAATAAAGCTGAATTGAATTGAATATTTACCTTACTACATAAATGTAATTAATTTGTGTTACATCATGGTTTGGTGACTTTACTCTGATTACAAAAACTTATAGAAGAAAAAAAAACGCACAACAATGAATTATTAAGTGTGCTTAAGTTTTTAGGTGAGAGAGCAACAGATTTACCAGTCAAATTACAAGCCTCCAATATCAGGGTTATGCAAATGCTCAGTCAGTGAACCAAGTGGTTCTGCACTGCAGTTCTGCTTCATTTGGCCCACTGACCCATTCCAAGCCACTCATTATCTTCCACTCCGGAAGTCTTTGATGAAACGAAGAAGAAAAAAACGTCAACTATTTCAAAAACCTCAACTATTTAAATTCCAAACGTCACCCAAACAGCAACATTAAAGAAACAAGATTTCCTTTTAGAGGAAAAAAGCTAAATTGTCTACAAGGTGGCAACAGTTTTTAAACAAAGCGGTCCTTCCTTATCAGTCTAGCATCAGGAAATTAAAAATAATCGTCTAGAACTCTAACTCGGCCAAAGGCAGGACTGGAAAAGGAACTGGGTGTGTCTGCAATTATTTTGACAGGTTAGGCACAATCTCACATGGGACTCATCGACTAAAACTTCCACAACTTCTGCCAAGCATCAGGAGCTGTATGTATTATCAAATGAACTGTTTGTGGCGGTCTTTCAAAACATCACAAGCTGCATTAACAAATTACTTTAAACTTCACTACTTCACACTTCTTGAAAGTTCTTGAAGATCCTTCTACGTGACTGGTAAGCCAGAATGCTGATGTAAACAGAGCTAACAGCGCTGTGTGTGTAAGTAGCAGTTGTGTTGAGTCTGTGGTAGAGTGGAGGCAGTGGCTAATCTTAAATAATAAACAAGAAAAAAAGGAAAAGAAAAGAAATTTCTTTCACTTTATTTACATTCGGAAATATAAATTTATATACTTTTACTTGTAAAACATTCATTTTTAAAGAGTTAATGAGCAGTTACTGTATAAATCCCCCCTGAAAAAAACAGCCTAAACCAGCCTAGGCTGGTTGGCTGGTTTTAGAGGGGTTTTTCAGNNNNGATTTATACAGTAACTGCTCATTAACTCTTTAAAAATGAATGTTTTACAAGTAAAAGTATATAAATTTATATTTCCGAATGTAAATAAAGTGAAAGAAATTTCTTTTCTTTTCCTTTTTTTCTTGTTTATTATTTAAGATTAGCCACTGCCTCCACTCTACCACAGACTCAACACAACTGCTACTTACACACACAGCGCTGTTAGCTCTGTTTACATCAGCATTCTGGCGTACCAGTCACGTAGAAGGATCTTCAAGAACTTTCAAGAAGTGTGAAGTAGTGAAGTTTAA